ATTTTTGCTTTTGATTTGCAGGAATTTCAACAATCTTTTCCCCACTTTTTCATTTTGGGGTATCATGTGCAGAACTTTGAAGTGAACAAGAAATTTAATCTATTTTGGAATAAGACTGTAACAGGAACTGTGAATGCTTTCCAAATGCACTGTACACACTTACAATAATTAAGTATACAGCTAAAGGAAGTGAAAAACTACAATGTTTTATTGTGTACTGTCTGTATTCAAGGTAAAGTGGAACATAAGCTGCTGTTAACCAGACTTAACTGAAGTTTGATTGTTTCTGACAGATAAATTGATTCTGATCAATGAAAACAAGACCTGGGAGGAAGCCTTGGATTACTGCAGACTGCACCACACTAACCTGGTCTCCATCACTAACCCTCACCAACAGAGATGGGTGGAGAGGAGAGCCAAGAATGCCAGCAGTCCCTACATATGGGTGGGACTGCGCTACACCTGCGTGATGGATCTGTGGTTCTGGATCAGTGACAAACTAGTCTGCTACGAGAACTGGGCTGATAACGGAAAGATTGAGGAGTGTGATAGGTGTGCAGCTATGGAAAGAGGAGGACGGTATCAGTGGGTCAGTCAAAGAGAACATGAGAAATATAACTTTATTTGTTCTAAACAATAAGTTTTAAACCTCTCTGACTCACTGCAGGTTAATTGTTGCAGCAGAAATAATTTGCTTTTATGATTTTTATCAAGCACTTAAGAGATTAAAGATTAAAAATATCTATGTTATAACTATGATTGAAAGTGATGATTTAAAACTTACCATGTCATAAACATTTTTTTCTGGATGTGCTCTATTATTCTAGAGAGAATATAGTGTGTTAAAAAAAAGCTCAGTCTTAACCATCTGCAGCAGTTAAATTGATCCTTATAACAGAAGAAATACTTTTACTTTTATCATTTTATCTATAAATTTCTAATAATAAAGTATTATGTGTATTTAGGTGTTTTCATCGTGTTGTTTCTTTTGCAAAAGGAATGGTTCTCAAATAATATCCTTCAACACTCATCATTGTCAGGTAATAGTTGATATTTAACCTAAAAAAAACAACTAAAAAACAACAACAGTTATTTAATCAGGAAGGAATGTGGACAGGTGAGTGACGAAGTGTTTCTCCCACTGAAAAAGCTACATGCAGATGCAGATGAACAGAATCAGCTTTTTGGATTTAAGGTCATTTATGTGAGTTTTCCTGTGAGTCAGAAATAAATCAAATCTGGTCAGTTGTAATTTTTGAACCTTGTTGTTGCTTCCCTTTAGTGTCTGTATCCTGAACACATACAAGGCAGATAACCATTAAACCTGTTTCACTCTCAACTGTCTACATACTTTTACCGGCTCATCTGATTGGTTGATAACACACTATAGAGAATCGCTGGTCCTTAACAGCCCATGGTTTCAAGTCTAAGCCACTGGATTACCTATTTTGTTTTGGGGTTTGTTTGTTTTTTTTGCTTCTTTCTTGAAGTTGTGCATCAGGATCCTTTCTCTTCCAGGTTCTTAAAATCTCATCATCAACAAGCAGCTCTGAAAGGATATTAATCTAGATAATGACAGGAGAATAAAATTAGTACTGGGAAGTTTATTTAACTATTGTAGGAAAAAATTTAGCTCAAAAACTTTTGGATTTTTGTAAAATCTGAAGTGGTCTGAAATTCCACTTCACTTAAAAAGACACAACGCATCTTATATTTATGTAAACCTAGTGATAAGACTTGTTTTTTCAGATAAGATTCATCTTGTTTTCATGGCAGTATGCGCGTGAGGACTGCGCACGCGCACCGGTTGTAAGTTTCCTGAGTGTACTCGTGGGTGGACTACAGAGCCTTATTATGTAATTTAACTGTTTACAAAAGTGAAACTGGAGACCGTGGACCACGAGGTGCTCCGGGGAAAAGAATGCACCGGGGGTGAGTTGTGTCGCCGTGAGCAGCGCAGTGAGGCTTTGCTCAGCTGTTTACAGTTAATCGGTCAGCCGGCTTTTTCACTCTCACTCCGGTAGAAAAGGTGAAGTTCTCACAGTGAACGCTGTCATACCTCTGCTCACGCGCACACGTTAATAATGACGTCACTTGAGACCTCTGACTTGCGCTTGAAACACATTTTTAAATAGTTTAGCTGGAAAACATGAAAAGCAGTTATTTTTGTGTCGCCTCGGACAGCCAGTGCGCACGCGCCAAATGCGTCGACGTCAAGTGCATGTGATAATGATTGGGGAGAAGGCACGTGCACAATGTCCACCGCGCGGTCGTCCACCTGTTCGAGTGTAGCCGGAAAAACATTTAGCTTTCGTTTGAAGTTTGTGTGAACTGTATCTCCGAGTCTGTGAATCAGCCTTTAAAATAACCAGTTAGTGTTAGTCACCACAGGCAACTCGGACAGACATGGACTTCTTTCTTTATAGGAAATAAACCCAGCTTCATTACAGCGAGCTGTCGGGGTTATCTGCGTTAACAGAACCCTCTTACAAGCTGCTGACAACTTTGTAGGCTGTAGGAAACGAATGGTAGACATAGCAGCTGGTCCTGTTTAAGTGTCTGCTGTCCCCCCTTTTATCTAACTCTGCCGGACTGCTTCTTCTTCTGCAGGTAAAACTCAAAGTGTACATTTTGTTATGGTGAAGCAGACAAGCAGTGGGTCAAAGTTGTATTTGTTGAGAATGACCTTTTACTGTTAGTTTCATGATGGCTTTAAGTCTTACGTCTTTGAGCTCATGTGTGTTAGCAGCAAATTCCTGTGATTCCTTCTGCTGAGCAGTGAGTAACATTAGGTTATGGGTGGATTTGGTGGTTTAACTTTCTGATGCTTTGACTCATTTGTAACTTATTGCTCGGATGTTGCTCAGCCGGACAGTCTGCACTATTATTGTCTGACTCCAGTATGGTGTGTTATAATTACATGCATGCAAGGAAAAGCCATAACATACATATTTACCTTATGTATAAGCCTATACATAAGGTAAATATTTGTAAGGTAAGACTCCAGCACCTGTGTTACCTGGGGCAGTCAAGAGAAGGTATTTGATGAGCACCAGCCTCAAAGAGATGAGACTGGTGGTGAGAGGCCAGCTCAGCAATATGAATGAGCTCGAACCCATTGGTACAAATTCCAGCACCATAAATCTACGAGTAAGATGGAGAGGGGATTGCAGTCAGGGATGAAACTCTGGATGAAACTCATAATCTTCTCTTTAATGTTTTTCTTTCTTAATCACATTAAATTGATGGATATACACATCAAAACCTTAAATCTAATCAACATAGACATATTTACATATTTACTCATCAACATACACCACAAAACAATTCACAATATAACATATACCCTTGCAAACATTTATGGACCCAACAATGTGGACCCATCCTTGTTTCATAGCTTTTTCTCTTTTATTAAGATAATTGTTTATAAATGACTCAACAATTACTACAATAGATGGATATCTTAATACGCTTTTCACCCCTAAAATATATTCATATTCCAATAGCAACTCCAGATTCTGACATTCAACATATATAATAAACCATTATATGAACTCTTACGGACTTGATGATAGTTGGAGAATAAATAATCCCACATCTAGACAGTAAACATATTACCCCCCCACCCATCAATCCAGGAACGTGATCATTGTGTGGAAGGTATTAACCCACAAAAAACACAATTTATCATTAAACAGCTTAAATACGACAGCTTCCAATATAGCAGTAAAGAAGGAGTCAGCATAAATGTGAAAATTAAACTGGAGAACCAGTTCAGAATCCCCAAGACATCAACAACGTTTTCAAATCCTTCTATAATCAGTTATATAAACTAGATCCTAATCCAAACCAAAATTATATAGAACACTTCTCAAAAGAAAAGGATCATTCTAATTTCTCCACTGAACAAGCTAATATAACAAACTTTTATTATGACAACAAAAGAACAGGGCAGACATGTCAGTGATGGCTGATATGGGTGCTTCTGAGTTGGGGGGTGATTGGGATGTGCCCTGGGATATCAGCTCCCTACATGCCTTTTGCTGGCTTGCTCTGGGGCCGACAGTTTCAAGTGGTTCAAAAGGAAATCACAATTTAATAAAATTGCCCCTCCCCTTAATTCATGTATTTTTACTACTTATAGTAGTGTCATTACGAGGTATTATTATTATTATTATTATTATTATCATCATGGACAATATTGCATTTCAGGGCATTTTTTTAAAATTTGTTTATTTTTGTTATTTCTTTAGCATATATAGTTTATATAGTTTTCATGACTATGAAATTATTTCATGTACCTTTTTTTTTTAAATCAACACATACTTTACTGTGCATAGTTAACGGAGTACACTGGACTCAGTTTAATAATATTTTCACACAGTTTGCTTATCTTTTTGTCTGTTGACCTGTCCTTACTGGTCTTGTTTACCTCACACAAAAAAAGGATGACTGCTCCCCAAGGTTACTTGCTTCAAAAGTGTCTCAGGTGCCTAAAGACAGACCATGATGAGGAACATAGAAGCTCAAGCTCCCGCATGAAGTGCAAAAGGGCGTAAAGGATGGCACAGAGGCTCTTATCATGTCAGCACAAGTGTCCCTAAACACCAAATCCACAGTGGGAGAAGTCTGCCACAGCCGACAGGGCCCAAGCTGCAGACTGCCACGGTGAGAGAAACCACTAAAGCTGGTTGAGAACAGCAGGGCTCCTGTGGGACTGACAGTTCCAGGCAGACGAGCAGCTGCCGGTAAACCAACCATATAACCATAGCGGTGTGTGACAAGGAACAGAAAACCACAGTTGTGATAGCCGGGCAATCCCCAGTGGACGGCAACATCAAGAAGAAAGAGCACATAAGGCAAGGCAAGTTTATTT